CCAAATATCTCTAAACCTAAAAGCCAAATTACAGAAAAACATATTCGTATCGAGAAATTGCCACTACAGACCCCCAGTATCGAGCATTTGAACAGGTCTCTGAGGGGGGAGGGGGTATGTACCTGTACCCACAATCAGGTCCCTATTTTGGACCATTGTTTTGACCTCGCCCCATACTTAAAAACACTGCCCCAAAATGCTTCGTTTTTATGTCTGYGTCTGTTGTATTTATGAAAGCGCTCGCGCCTCTCGAGATTTCTGTCAAACCCCAAGTGCTTTATAACTCCACACAGCACAGCAAACAAGTTTTTTATGTCTTTTATAAAATACAAATTACGTGAATGACGAAGCTTAAAGTGCGCGAGCGTGCTGTGTGCACTCATAAAGCACGCGCTCCCAACCAATCAGATCAGTCCAATCACACAAAACATTAAAATCTTGCCACCACGTATCAGTTCCAGTATTTATTCATTACCGTCAACAGTATGAACAGAAAATCCTGGCATGAAAGGGGAAAAGACCCAGAAAAATGTCTTGTTTTATAAGTAGATTAGCTAAAGGCAAGCCCTGAAAAAGCTCAGGAGTAATTCTTGTGAACCTCGGACCATGCGTCACGTGCATATATCTTTATATTCGACGAAGCTGGGGAAATTGCTAGGAGAGTCCATCTCTATAAATTTTGGTCCTATCAGATTGCTTACAATGCAAGGCTAAAAATAATTCGCGCTCTGATTGATTGTTGGTGACGCAGGAGAATATGAACTTTATATTCTCTTGGTGTGACGTCATTTTTGTCAATTTTTTAATCAATTTTTTCTGGCTTAAACATTTTAGTTTTCATGGCCAATTCTACTAAAATATGGAGCTTGTTGTCGAAATGAAATACATGGATTCGACAAGACCGAGCTCAACTCGTCGACGTGATCTTGACATGGGCGTTTCTCACATGGCCGCCGTTTGATAATCCGCCACAGAGCAGCTTTTCGACATAAAAAAAGAAAAAAAAAAGAAAGAAAAAAAAAACAAAACAAAAACAAAAACAAAAAGGAAAAAAAAAAGAGGGGTTTTCACGACTATGAAAAGCTTGAAGCTGCTTGCGTGTCAACGACCGCTATGTTATCTATAATTTTGGTTGGATTATTTTTTTCTCGTGCAATGTGTATGGTCTGGCACTGCCGTGATTTTGGCGTAAATAATTATTCAAGTTGTTAAAAAAAGTCTATCATTGTAATCACCGTTCGTCTCGCTTCGATGCAAAGGCACGGCTACCTTTCAAGAGGTGAGGTAATTGTGGAGAGAATTATTGTGATTGGTCTGGCAGTGCTGTTATCTTGGCCTTACCTCGCCCAAGAGACCACTGGAATCCGGAAAAAAATTGGGGTTACCCAAGCATCTAAGCGAGATAATTGACGTTAAGCATCGATGACGTAAGCACATTTTTACGCAAGGGAAAAAAATCATATTTCAAAGTTGCTTTGATAGATTTTATCTGAAACTTGTTTCAAATAAACAACAAGTTGTGTTCTTTATTTCAAACATATAAACTTTTATGTATCATATGAGAAACCATTTTTAAAAACAATTTTTTCCCTCAAAAGTGTAAAGTATGGTTCTGAAAGGATACTATATTTTTGCTTACATTTGCATCCAAAACCATTTTTATTTTAGAAATTCTAGTATAAAAAAATATCTGAATATTTCTCTTATATTTTGGAGGAAAAAAATGGGGGTACCCACGCGTTTTAAAAAGTTATCATTTTTTAAAGTATTTTTTGAGGATAAATCGTGTGCTAAAAGCGTGACAAGCGTGACGATGCGTTACGAAACAGCGTGACCAGCTCTGTTTTTGGTGTGTTTGCACCAGCTCCTCTCTTCGTTGTTTTACAAGCAGGAGGAAAACTAAAGAAAAAGCGATATTTCAAGCCTTCAAAGTACCAGAAAACTTATACAATTCGAAGAACAATGATTAATAATTCCTTCCTGTGTAGAAGAAAAGATTTCCTTATGCAAATGTTATGTAAAAGTATTTTTGAAGTCAGAAAAAGGACGGCTTTCCATGAATGTTTCATGGCAGTCATGCAAGCAAAGCAAGAACCAGGCAAAAACTTTCGTAAAATCAAAACTTACATTCAGGTTTAATTCACAAGCGCAAGAGACAGAATTAATAAACCAAAATAATAATTTTCTTTGTCAGTATGCCTTTTGCGTGAATGTYTTTGAATAAATGTCTTAGCGAGTGAAAGACAGTTTATGTAAATACGAGTTCTTTCAACAACAAAAGTTCATTTTATGTAGCTATATACTCGCAGGAAAACCTAGATAAATGGTTGAGATTTGGTGTAATGTGTGATTCCTTTTCAATTTTCATTTAACTTTAAAACAAACTAAGCTTATCTGTAAGGAAATACTGAAGTTCTTTTATTATTCACCGATCCAAGGCCATCGAAACTGCTTTTTCTAGAAAGTAAAAACATGATTTTTCGCCAAAAAAACCACGTTATTTTTGAAGATTACCACCTTTGATTACATAACAAAATAGTTATTGCTGTTGTTTTTTGCCCTTAAATTTGTCCCAAGCCGACGTTTTCTGTACCTTCGATTGTTTTTCTTTTTGAAACCCGCAGGAATCCCTTGATGTAGATGCGCAATAAGTGTGCGCGCTAACAATAGTAGGCACCATCCTTAAAAAAATTAAAAGATAAAAAACGGTAAAAATTCACAGATATCAAAAATAAATCATTCATGTTTGCGCCTTGCTTATTTGATTTCTCATGAGCCTCTTTGGCCTTAGCTCTCATTATTTTTGATTGACGGCAGCGAAAAAACAAATTCCAGCGTGCAACTTTTTACTTCAAGTTTGAAGAATATCGCAGTAAATCATTGCAAGAATCGCTGATTTTACTGCCTCATCTATCTGTAGTACTACTTTTTCGTGGGATTGCCAGTTCACTAGATACACCGTGCTGACGAGACCCAATACAGGCCGAAACAGCTGTACGCGGTTTCTAGTTGGGCTGGCTCATTGTCTACGCGACTTGAAGTTGTGAAAGGATTGTATGGCACTCTTCTTCAGTCGTTTCATCTAAGGCTCGTAATTTACCTATTACGCATGATTTTAGAGGTGTTTAAAATATCAATAATTGTTGAAAGACACTGAAAAAAGAAAAAAGAAAAAGAAAAAAACCCCCAAAACATAAAAAACAAGGTTATTTGCTTGCTTTTATCAGTAGTTATTTCAAACCAGACCCCTTTTGTACATGGGAATGTATAGAATAGTAAGTTTCTAGTGGAAAAATTGTACGAGACAAAAATGGCCGACGTGGTAGACAGTATACAGCTATAGACTCCTTGCACTGATTTCTTAGAGAAGTCGTTCTGGGTGACAAAACAATAGGCCGTCTTTTCTTACGCAAAAAAAAAAAAAAAAACGTTTTGTCGATTAGAACAATTCCTTTAGGGACTCGGTGCAAGGGGTCTATTTTCAAAAGGTTGGGGAAGGTTTTGTTGCATACCAAGCCCGAAATGCACTATGGGTGATGCGAATTCAATCAGCGAAAGGTCACAGATACGAAATTTTTCTAAACTTCTTCACGTTTTTATGTATAATTTCTTCTGTGATGACATTATTTACATATGAATATACACTTCAAGCATGGTAAGCAACATAACCTTCATCAAACTTTTTTCAAATATAGAGGCTTTGCAAAACCTCGTGATATATGGCAGCCATGACAGGGGGCACTACAATAGAGTCCTTATGTCATGGTTGCCATCACATACGAGATAATCATATTGATTAAAGCTCATGGTTAACAATCAGGTAAATAAAAATAGCAGCCATAATTAATGTTCACTATAAGTGGTTAATGTAATCATTCCTAAGGGAATAAAAGTGGTAGCCATGTTGGATGCTGTTCACTATAAGTGGATTGTAATTATTCCTAAGGGAATTAAATTAGGAGCCACAATTAGTGTTCACTATAAGTGGTTTGTAATCCTTCCTAAGTGGAAAAAGATGTCCATAGATGATTTAACCTTTATGTGGAACATATCTCATTAATAAAAGTAGCAGTCATGTTATTGGATGATGTTTACTATAGGTGGATTGTAATCATTCCTAAGGGAATAAAAGTGTTTGCCATATTGGATGATGTTCACTATAGGTGGTTTGTAATCATTCCTAAGAAAATAAAAGTGGCAGCCATATTGGATGATGCTCACTATAGGTGGTTTGTAATCATTCCTAAGGGAATAAAAGTGGTAGCCATGTTGGATGGTGTTCCCTATAGGTGGTTTGTAATCATTCCTAAGAAAATGAAAGTAGCAGCCATTTTGGATGATGTTCACTATAGGTGGATTGTAATCATTCCTAAGAGAATAAAAGTGGCAGCCATATTGGATGGTGTTCACTATAGGTGGTTTGTAATTATTCCCAAGGGAATAAAAGTGGCAGCCATTTTGGATGATGTTCACAATAAGTGGTTTGTAATCATTCCTAAGGGAATAAAAGTGACAGCCATTTTGGATGATGTTCACTATAGGTGGATATATTGTAATCATTCCTAAGGGAATAAAAGTGGCAGCCATGTTGGATGATGTTCCCTATAGGTGGTTTGTAATTATTCCCAAGGGAATAAAAGTGTTAGCCATATTGGATGATGTTCACAATAAGTGGTTTGTAATCATTCCTAAGGGAATAAAAGTGGCAGCCAT